AACTACTACAAAGAGACACAAAACAAATACAAAGAGACGCAAAACAAATACAAAGAGACTCAAAACAACCACAAAGAGACTCAAAACAACTACAGAGAGACACAAAACAAATACAAAGAGACACATAACAAATACAAAGAGACACAAAACAACTACAAAGAGACACAAAACAACTACAAAGAGACTCAAAACTACTACAAACTCGGTGTGTCTTGCTGAGGTGGTGGGGCCTTTGGCATGTCTTTGCCATTTGTTTGCACTGTTGGCGCTACTAGCACGGTTAGCTGCTAGCCGCCATGTGGAGGTAAATTTTCGAACTAAGCACCTTTAAGGTTTAACTGGAAAATGAAATAACCATTGCTGTTGTGAAATAGAGGGAAGACTAAATCAGAACAATACTATTTTTAACCATATCACATAAATTGATAGATAACTGAAGACATGCACAACCCTTTACTTCAAACTACCAACTTTCTTCAGGGAAATGTTAATGATGTTCAATTGTAATTATTCTGCATTCATCATGAACTGTTACATTTCAGAAGCCCACCTTTAAATTGAATTAAATGAAGTGAACAATGGATTATGCCATGCCCTTAACCTTTCTATAATCCAACACACAATCATTTCTAGAATAGTCAAACTGCTCATGATTGAAACCTTTGTTTCATCAGTGAACAGCATGCTGCCCTGTGACAAGGTGTATTAAACATGTACCTGTATGCTTCTGTTGAACTCATTAGTCAGTGCAGTAGCAGTGTCAGTGAGGATGCAGTTCACCAAGTCTCCATCAGAGGCACACTTCCTGCCTGCCTCATACAGAGAGGGAAGCAGCTGCACAGGCGGAGCCAACAAAACATTAGTATAAAGCATCATTTACATATAGACCTCATTTACAAATTTACTAAATACTTTAATTGAACAGAATCTTCCAGAGCCTGGTTGTGATTATTTTGGTCCAAAATGACATAATTCACAATTGATTCAGTAGCCTGTACCTTGAAGGAGTCCCTGGCGTTGTGCAGCACCTCTCGTGCTGTCAGGATGTCAGACTGGTCCTCCTGAATGTTGCAGTGCTTTAGACGTTGGAGGCTGTCCTCTAACTGCTGACACAGACCGTGGACCTGCTCAAATTGAAGACAACCAGACAGACACAGCTCAAGATACAGACCAGGCGGCAACCTCCAGGTCTGAAAAGTGAGACCAATGTTCCTAATGTGTTAAAGCTGCATTCTCTCTAGTGTCCACCAGGGGGCGACTCCTCTGGTTGTATAGAAGTCTATGAGAAAATGACTCT